GTCGGGCGGCTCGGACGCATGCAAACCAACTTCGGCGCAGATGACCTCCATCTACTTATTAAGCCCCTTCCTTCTGTTTGCATGATCGCCCAACGCACTTTTCCTTTTTTTTTTTTTTTTGTCTGGCGGCTCGGACCCATGCAAAGAAACTCTGAAACCGACAACAAGTGCCTAATTTTGTAAACTGCCCTCGAACTTTAACTTTCTTCAAGCGGGTTGTGCTCTTTGTCGTACTCTTTGCTTTACAACGCCGCTTCCGTCTACGCCTTTTCTTGGGGGTTGTTTCTGAACCTTCCACTTACCTCTCTTGCTCGCCAGCACTCTGACTGGTTTTGTTTGCTGTCTTAATCAGTCTAAATTATTTGCGTGCAAATCATCTTCTCCTTCACTTTCCAGACTGGCAGACAGCTCAATCAACGCATCTAGTAACAGTGCAACTGTTTTATTTCAAACAACTTAGCTCGCATTCTTGGGAGCTGCCCATAACTGTATTGCACTCAATAATCTCTACTAGCGCTTTATCTCCTGTATTCACCCTGGTGTTCCTGCCTAGCAGGTCGAAATCCTCTCGGACATCGTATGCAGGATCCACTGTGGCGACACTCTCACGTGAACCCAACCCACACGCCTTGGAGCTGTCCACAAGTACACTACCCTGAACTACTTCCTCACACTATGCTAGCCTAACGCTGGTGTTTTTGCAGGCAGGTCGAAATCTTCTTGGACTCCGTGGGCAAGATCCAACCTATATAGGCACACCCTCGCTTTATGTCAGTGCCAGGTGGTCTATAACTGTCTTAGCTGTTTCACTAGAATTCCCCTGGCACAGCACCGCACTGCATTTACTCTGGCTTTCGTCGGCCTCTCCTATAAGCGCAGCCTCTTGGGCAGCTGTCAACCTTGGTTTCTTCTTGAACCTGCTGCTGCCTTCACATGTGCTAGCTTTTTCTACGGCTCCGATTTGCACCGCACTCCTCGTTTCTCACACACTTCTTGTGCGCTTCGCCTAAAAATTTACCACTCTGCTGCTTCATATCTAACCTGCGATCTAGTCGTTCAATCTCCTCGTTTACCTCTTGCATCATCTTCTTGTGTTTTTTTTTTCTATGTGCCCTCTGTACTTCCTCTTCCTGTTTTCTCTTATTCTTCTCTCTCTTCCTCTCTTTCGTGCATCCCCTTCCTGTGTTCTTAATGTCTTATTCTCTGTTTCTCTATCAATTCCTGTTCCAATAAATACGTATTCCCAAAGTACTCAATATCGGCCTTGTTACTTTTTCTTTCTAGAATTACTTCACAGAGTTTTGATACAGGCGTATCATCGTCAAATTCTAGGTAGAGATTCCAACACAAGTTAGCAGGTTATCTCTCGTCAATCTCGTCGGGTCCATGGCAACTACTTTGCTTTGGCTCAGCTGTGATAAAACAGAAACCCACCAGTTTCAAATCTGGGTCTAAAGAAATTGAAGCCTGGCAAATCCCATATAGGAGACCAAAAGCTTAAATACATAAGCAGCCTTACGGGGCCAACCTCTCTATCTACCCTTTTCTCTGTTTTTTTTCTTCACTCTTCTATTTCTGCTACATCCCAAATTATCCTGCAGCGTACCATTTAAACTTCCGCAAAACTCACTTCGCCCCATCGTCCAAGGAAGGGCGCTTTTGTGTTGGGAAGACGACATCCGGCGACTAACGACTGAACAACGGCGCCACCGCGTCTTCCCTACACCTGTACCGAAAGGGGCACGCATGTGTTTGAGGAAAAAGAAATGACTTCTTCAGGGGACGGGAGCACGCGTACGCCGCGAAAAAGTTTTGACTTCACACTTGTCGTTCAAGAAGCTTTGTTTCGGAAACCTTCATTGATTTACGTATGCAAATGGTAGGCTTTTTTGAGAAATTCTTACCAAGCACGCATGTGTTTGAGGTCTACCACGGCACACCTGCGTGCTAAACGTGGTGAGATGTTCTTCAAAGCTTTTCGTTTTATTTTGTTATTATGTTCCTACTGAATTACTTAAGCTTCCCTGCTTAACATACTTGCTCAAATAAACATCGAGTGCTGCTCCGTGCTGAGATGACAACCACAAAAGCTTGGCACTTGTTGGTTATATCTATCTTCTAACAGATTTAGGCTAAAAGACTCGATATATCTCAAGCAGAAAGACAGGCACTCACCCGATTACCTGCGGCCGTAATACGCTGCCTCGATTCCACCGAATTCCAGGGCAAGGGCTTCCGGCTGACCTCCGATCCATGTCACTCTCTGTCGCTGAGTCTCATCCCACTGCTGCCATCCAGTTTGTTGCAACCGGCCTTTGCAGACACAGGAGATCCGGGATGAAGAGCTCAAGGCAGAAGGAGGTTAAACTTTATGGAGAGGGTTTATTTACATTATGTACATGGCGAGCTCTCTACAAGACACTGTCTCGAACGTGGCGCCCCTCTACATCGCTCTCTCGAATGTGGTGCTTCTTCGAATGAGCCGGGTGGCTCCATATAAAGAGTACATTCTCCCCAGATCCCTATATTGGGGAGCGTGTGCAGACGGCACTGTCCAATCATGTGTTAGGGCTGGTGCACACCAGCGAATAGCCGCGGTGACGCGATCATTTGCCACTGGTCGTTAACAGTCGCAAACGGTCGCAAAGCGACTGCTTTGGCTAGTTGCTTCCTGACCGATTTTTCAGTCACGCGACTGCAGTCGCAAACCTGCTGGAACCAATCAGCGATGCTAAATATATATATTTTTTTTTTTTACTGCGCTGGCCTCCAGCCACCAGATACAAACAAGTGCGTTCCTATGGGTCCTACAGTGCGTTCCTACAGAATACTCGGCTTGGAGATCGAGCAAAGTGTCGAATTGACGTGGCAGCATTCGCAAGAAGCTAAACACCGTCAAAGTAAAGAGAAAATAAATTACGCCCTATCTTTCCCCCATATTCAGAATCGTTTTTTGTCTTGAACTTGACTTGTCACCACCTTCAATGCAGCGCGTTTGGAACGCGTTTGTGCTTCATGCCTTGGCAACGACTTGAGACACCACGTTCGATATGCGTTTGTGCTGCATTGGATGCTGTGGCAAGTCGAGATAAATTCAAGAGCATTACTGAATACGTATGACTCTCTGAAATGCTCGTCGTCTCAGCGCAGCACGGGAGGTAGGCGGCTTGCATGGTCGGCCAACTCTTGCGATCAAAGGGACGGTCACACCCACCACCAGCTTTTTTTCTTTGGTGGCATCTGTGCTGCCAGCGCTGACACCATGGCAAAGCACACCAGCACCACGACAATCTCTTGTTCTTTGCTTGAATCTAACTCCTTGACGCTCTTCGGAACGCTGTGCGAGAACGGACGAAAGCAAAAAATGCGGTGCACTCGGTTTGCTCCGCTCACTCAGATGGCAGCGATCAGCTGATCGGCGCTGGTCTCCAGAGTTCTCGCTGATAACGAAATCCGGACGCGACTCTCCGGTTTTGCGACTTTCGGTCATTCGCATGCAGCCTATGCCGGTGTGAATATCAGTCGCTTTTTGGTCGCCAGTCGCGAAGGTCGTGCGACCACTGATAGTCGCCTGTGTGCACCAGCCTTTACTCTTTTACACACAACCTGTAGAGGTGGTGACCATACAGGGCACACACAAACGTCCAATATTGAGGCGTGGTCACTGTACTCCAATGTGACACTAACGAGGCTCTTCCTCGTCGTGTGTGTGCCGCTGAGTGAGGGGTACCGAGCTTACGACAGCATACATAGAAAGGGCCGCCGCAGTAGCTCAAAACGGTTCCCCGAAGTGCTCACTCAATTAGCGGGGCGATTTGTGGCTGCCGCCGCTGTCCCTTCCAAGGAAGATGCTGCATTTGTCGTCATCTCGTGAAACAGCTTACAGCGTTGTGGCGGTACGGTGCCTTACCCTCCGGCTAGAAGGCACAATACATGGCAGATATAGGCCGGCAGCCGATCAGCAACTTGATTGAGGATCAAAAGAACGCCACTCCCTTATCAGCCCAGGTGCCAGTCGCAACAAGGGTTCGTATAATACAACCCTAGTTCACTTTTCCACACAATAACTGTGAACTTCTTAGCACTTTTAGTGCTACTGCATCAGTTTCTTTAGTCCCTCTGCGTAGAAGTTCGCTACCTGGGAATTTTTCGCTGTTCAAGTTGGTCGGTAAACATTTTTGGTACCCAGCTTGCACACACTTTGTGAATTCCAAGCATTTGGGTTATATTCATGTATATTGTAGAGCATTCAACCAAAGGAAATCTATCCACCAGACTACAAACTGTCAGTCACCAATTTAATCGCAATTCTCAGTCCCGTGTCCAGACCAGTTTCATTGGTCTAGACATTGGGCTCCACTCCACTCTTTATTCTGCACACTTGTGCGGCCATTTCTGAAGTATGGGCACCATTTTCTGACCTTTCCTTCACTCATCACTATTGGTCCATAATCTAGGCACAACCCCCATGAATTTGAGAAGCTGATGACTCATTTGCCTGCAAAATAGAATTACAGTTCTGACTGGCAGGAGCAACAAATCTCATGGACAGTTTCATCTTCATTGCCTGTCAAGCAGAGGACTACCAAGCCAGGACAACAATTACAGCACCTTACTTAAGAATGAAAAGATGGCCCTAGAGAAATAAATCTTGATTTGCAATCGGCCCTTTCTTTTTTTATCACCCAAGTATATCAGCAATTTAAAAATACAAGAAACCTTATTATTATTAGCCAAGTCACTCCCACCCATGACTACTGTTCCTCACATCATTTACACTATCAGCAACACTTCTGTAAAAATTGAAGATGCAAAAGTTCTGCCTTAATATGCTTTAAAATTGTGGTTGTTCATTTTCTACCATTTCATATCGTTCATCTGCACATGGCAAGTATATTGTAAAGGCCACAAATGCATATGCAGAGCTAGTTTTTAATTGATTCAAGACTGGTCTTTATTAATCTACAGCCCCTGTGCAGAAATTAAAATGGCAAACTCACCTGAACGAAAGCAACTGTCACCACAATAATGATAGCCTATAAAAAAGAGAACAAAATTAGACATTAAGCACCGATACACAGTTGATAAAAATATACAAAAAAAGGGCCACAGTGCCATGCTTGTTTTGCTTCAAACACTGTATGGCCCTTATTTTAAACCAAATTTAAAGACCATCCAATCCATCTTGCAACTACAGTGTGGCGACCTTCAATGTATCATACACAGCAACTGGAAACTCAAGAACACTGTCATCTCGACCATACCGATGCATATCGATTCGATTTGATTGATGTGGGGTTTAATGCCCCAAAGCTGCCATATGATTATTAGAGACGCCGTAGTGGAGTGCTCCAGAAATTTCGACCCCCTGGACTTCTATAATGTGCGCCCAAATCAGAGCCCACGGGCCTACAGCACTTTCACCTCCATCGAAAATGCAGCCGCCGCAGCCGGGATTCGATCCCGCGACCTGTGGTTCAGCAGCAGAGTACCTTAGCCAATAGACCACCACGACGGGGATACCGATGAACATTATGCAAATGACAAATAGCGTAGCTTGTCAATAGATGGACAGCAAAATCCTGGCTCACACAAAGGATTGTGGGCTATGGCGCTCGTCTGCATCGACTTCCGGTTCTAGATTCCATGCTGCCAGATGGCCATTCTTACCTGTGCCTTCACTTTGTTTCTTCCACCTAGCACTCGCGGAAGCCTTTTCTAACAAATTGCTACATAACACGTTGGAAGGCTATACAGCTTAAGTAAATAACAAATGCCGTCACTACGAGATAGTTATAATGGTAGAAGCAGTAACTTTTTTCATTCAAGTAGTATGCACCTTCGGACACATGCACATTGTTTTGCGGCAAAGGGTGTTTTCGCACATATCTTCTCGCATACAAAAATTTTTCTGCACATCATGTCATCATTTGTTCATTTTTTTTTATGTTGCTCACTCGTCGAATCATTTACCTATTTCTATGTTGCAAACATACCATCTCGGGTTCAATATAAAGAATGGCAACGGTAATCTGTTTCTTATTCAAAAAATCAAATGTGCTCACAGTTTTGTGGCTTTTTTTTTTCACCTCTCAATCTCCCTTTACGTGTCGTTCCCTCTTGCACTCGAACATCGATTGTGTTTCAATGCATGCTCAACATACATTTGTGAAACAGAGCCCCTAAGGATATCAGTAAGAGTACAACACACCCTATCAGTACTTCATGCTTGCGAGTCTGACATAATAGAGACCCCATACCATGCAACTTGTTGCTTCGAAAAAGACTTCAATCGTTTTATGTTATCCGATAACTTTAGGTGAGTGGTTGTTTTGTGCCATGGGCCTTTTACGCGCTCAGTTGTTTTTATAAATTTGACAAACAGGAGGAGATACAGAATATGCTGTGCAAATATACTGTATCGGCGTACTTGATGGGGGCAGAGTACGCATACTTATGTTGTCAACAAACGTATGTTGACATTTGGTCGCATAAGCTTACATGTGTGAGTGATTTTGAAGTGGCCACCATTTGCGGACGAAAACATTAATTGAGGTGATTTTGCAAAAGATTACCGCATGTTGCAAAGCATAAACGTGCTTGAAACGCACCTCTCACCATTCCTCAAGTTTGCCCTTCAATTCAACCACTGAAATACGTAATATATCATGTATCATTCGCAAAAGAGTTCAAGAAAACAACCATTGAACAGCCGGCAACAAAGGCATCGCAAAGCTCCACTTGTTTTCTTCCCCACTACACTGCGCAGCAAGGCACCTTGAAGTGCCGAAGGTATATGGCTCGAACCGGAAGTACTGTAGCAGACGACGTGCCGTTTTGCTATCCACCAATTCAGGTACTGGACTTTATGCAGCACCATGAGCTATCAAAAATGCTTCAATCAGCAATTAGCTTTTTCAATATGTCAGCTCCCTATCACAAAAAGTATAACAGTTAACAAGAAATCGGCATTTGCAAGAAGTCACTGCAGCCTTCCTATTCTGTTATTGACAGAGTGTTGCTCTAAAATTTGCATAGGTATATCTCGACACGTCTATGTCAATGTGGAGAGTCATAGTCATTCTTTACCACCTAAAAGAATTTTCGCGTTCACTTTTCATTCACTCAAACCATTGCGATGTGTACTCTCAACATAACAACCACATAATAATTACCCAATCAGTTAGCAAAACAGAAGTGCATAACTCGTCAGTTGACAGGAAACGTCAAAATAGGACTCTAAATAGGACTGATCGAAATCAGCAAAACTTTGACACCGTGGACATTCTGAGATAAACAATGTCAAAACTGAGCACGACAGTTTTGAAGGAGCAGACCCATATATTGAACTATGATGATCATTTGGTTAAATGCTTCTATGAAAACATAGAGTCAGCCATTAATAAAATGAAGACGTAGTATACTATTCTGAAGGGCGACATTAATGCCAGAGTAGGCAAGAAACAGACCGAAGAATGTCAATCTTCTCCATGCAGTGAAGGAGATTGACATTGGCTCTAGGAATTCCTGAGGGGAGTTAATAGTTGAGTTTGCAGAACATAATTTATAGATCTTGAATACATTCTACAGAAGATGAGCAAATCGTAAGTGGACATGGCGGAGCCCAAATGGCAAAACTAAAAATGAAATAAACTTTATTCTGTGTGCACACCCAGGCATTGTACAGGATGTAAAAGTAGTTGGAAAGATTCAATGCAGTGACCATAGAATGGCAAGAACTCGAATTCAACTAGGCCTAAAAAACACAGACATAAACTAATACAACAGAAGCCAGTTAATGAGCTAGCATATAGAGGGAAAGTACAGGAATTCAGAGTTTCACTTCAGGAAAAATTAGCGGCTCTAAACGAGGTAATGGACATTAGCATTGACGCAATGAACAATAATCTAACTATTATAATTAAAGAGTGTGCAATGAAAGTCAGAGGTGCAGTCACTAAACAAGAGTCTGGAAAACTATCCGAGGAGATGAAAAATCTTATTAAGAGACCACAAACCATGAAAACCTCAAATGCAACAGACAAAAAAGAGCTAACAGAGTTTTCGAATTTAATCAGTGGGCGTAACGTAGCCGACGTGAGAAGGTATATACATGGAGAGAATTGAGCAGGCTGTAAAAAGCGGCAAAAGACTAAAAGCTGCGAAGACAAAGTTCCGCATAGGCAAAAAACGGATGTATGCATTAAAGGACAAAGAAGGCAAAGCTACAACGAATATGAATAGGATAGTTGAGATGGCGGAGGAGTTATACAGAGAGCTGTACGGAAGGTGAAACAACCAGGATAATATTTTAAGAAGCAAAAATATCTCAGACGAATTTGACATCCTACCAGTAACAACAAGGAAAGTAATGAAAGCTCCAGAAGGAATGCAAAGAGGCAAAGCCGCTGGTGAGGATAATATAACAATGGACCTGCTGAAAGATGGCGGAGAGAGATTGTGTTAGAAAAACTGGCCATTTTATACACGAAATGTGTCCTGATAAGAAGGGTACCAGAATCTTGGAAAAAAGTTTCGCGCAAGAGCAGTAAGTGCTGTGTGCGGTGCTAGTATGTCGTTTGCTGAAGTTGTGGCCGCGCTCTTGATTGCCGCGAAGCGTGACCGAAGTCGCAGAATCTCAAGAAAGGTCGCTTTCCTTCGACGTTGAAAGAAATTGACGGGAATGATTTATAGTAATATAAATGTCACCTGAACCATTAGCTGGATTGCAGTTATTTTGCCTTCTCGTTAGATAACTAATTGCCCGCTTCGAGAAAAGTTTTTGGTGTCACCAGTTAAAGGCGCTTGTAAATTCTTTGTTCAGCTTATACGCACTGCGGCTCTAATCTGCACCAGTGCACATAACGTGTATATGCGCTCCACAAGGAAAAATACACTTTATCATGGCTAGGCTGAAAAAATGCGCTCGTAAAGAATACATGCTTTTTTAACCAGCGAAAACACAATGAGGTAGTATTTTATATAATCTTATTCCCTTTCATTTTTGACACAGCTTTCCATCTGAGCGTGGCCATTCATTATGTGGAGAATTTTCAAAGCACAGGCATGGCTGACCTTGCGGCGATCCAGAGCGGGGCGCCAACTGTAGCAGACGACAAACTAGCTCCGCCCGCAGCGTTCACTGGTGCTACGCTAAAGTAGTTGCCGCAGCCGGCCGGCGGTGGCGCCGAGCAGACGACATGCACTCCGGTGTTCCCTTTAACAGCGGACCCCTCCATACAAGTTTAGTGAGGATGGCACAGTGTATGGCCAATTATGACTGTCTGCTGGACTGTTCAATTAAGCAAGGTGCTCTCCCCAAAATTGAGCACACAACTTTGCACAAACACGGATGCACACACACAACTTTATTAGGAGACATCTTGAGCCCATCCATGCGATGCTTAGCATCTGTGCTTCGAAATAAACAGTGAAAGTTTGGTAAAACAAGTTGCAACGTGCACCCCGAAAAACTAGACTATTGCACTCCATACAAGAAATGTTTACTCCATAGTACTGTGCCAGCTACAAAAAAAAGGGGGTTCTTTTTTAGAGTGATTAAAAGTGACAAAACAATGTAAGCCGACAGCAAAAATATATTGACAAAAATAGTGCACATGACTTGTAACTAATCGAAATTTGATGAGCTGGAATGTCCATTACAAAATGAAGTTGTATTTTTGAGCTAACCTTGTTAAAAATGATCACACAAAATATAGAAAAGTAAAAAAATCTCCAAATTGTAACTGACATTTATTAGTCAACCAGTGTGGGGATTTACACAAACTAGTTAACAAAGACCTTTCAGCTCATCAAAGTCTCGACCGTCACTTGCCACAGCTGCATAAAAAAGCAAGACCTACAGCTGGCCTTTATACAATAAGCACTTTCCAGCAGTGCTTTCATTATTTAATGCAACGCTTCAACTGCTGAATGTCTCTCTTGCTACTTTTGTCACAAGTGATGATTCAGACCACACAAAACACATGTAAAGTGAGGTGAAAAAAAAAAAAAAAAAAAGACTGATGAGAGAGCAACTGCAATGGAAAACTACATATATTTCAACTGCTTACTGGCCATAGCAAGTCTGATGCTACAGTAAAAGATTTATTGCTGCACAGTCAGCTCAAAAAGAGTAGTAGGGTGACACCTACAAATATCCCACATGTGCCTGTCAGACCTCTTATTGTACTGCCCCAGCAGTTTTATATGAAAAATGGACTTGGAGAATCAGAAACCAAAAAAAAAAAAAAAGACAATGTCCTTGTGAGGAAAACAACATGGCAGGTATGATATACAAGCAGAGAACAGAGTTCATAAAAAAAGATGGTAAAGAAAAACAAAAACACATGACACTACGTGAAGCAGCTGGTTTAGTTAACCCCCAGGGAGCTCTGCCTGCCAAGCAAAGAACACTGACTGCACACAGCTGCTGCAGTAGTGACAGAGGGGAGGGTATGGGGAAGAGACTGTGACTGAAGGTGCTTTTTTGTTTGCCCTATGAGCAATACCGAACAGAACATTTCTTTAGGATGCTTAAATTCAAAAGAACCAATTTAATGCTTTCACTCTGCAGCTTTTGCTGTGCCTTGCGCACCACACCAGTAATCCTTAATTTAAGCAGTAGAACAAAGAGGACTGGCAACTTGTCAAGCTGCTCAATGCAACAGTTTCTGCCAATTTTCTTTCTTTGCTGGAATAAGAAAATATACATTTGGTATGATATGATTAAGCACATTAACTAAGTAAAAGTTATGATTATTTGCACAGTAACTGTGAAGCATATATAATTGGTGCTGAGTACAACCAGGATGAGTCACTAATAAATGAAAGTAATTCACATGAGCCAGAAAAGCTACCGAAGTCTCATGTATGAGTGACTGCAATTGATGGTTACAAACATAAATTTCCACAAAGTTAATATTATTGCAAATGAGCTCCGCTAGAAAACAATGACTAAGTAGTATAAAGCATTCACTTACAGCAGTAATGCTGAACGCATCATCAAATTGCTGCATGCAGACACTGACCACAGCAGATGCCAAAAGGAGGACAATGAGAGGATTCTTGAACTGTAGAAAGAAACGCACCATGTTAAAAAGATTGGCCCAATCAAACACATGACTGAAAAGTGACATGAAACATCACCACACAAGAGTAAAATTTTAGTGTGTGTGTGTGTGTGTGTGTGTGTGTGTGTGTGTGTGTGTGTGTGTGCGCGTGCATGTGTGTGTGTGTACAGATATATATAGATATCATAATAGCTACAAAGCAATTCTCATTAAGGGGGCAGACTGGCCTTTGGGACCAAAAAGTGACAAAAAAATTCATTTTTTAATATTGACATATTTGGGTTTCTGCAAGTATTTTTCTATCTTTTTTTTGTAATGTCATTCTAACTGTCTAGATTCTTGGTGCTGTTAACGTGCAGAACCTGTGAAAAAATGGGGAACCGACTTCGAGGCTTCTTTATAATTTGCCGGCAGCTGTGTTAGAAGCTCTGTTACGAATTTATGAGCACCTTTACGAGGGTTGCAAAACATGCGCACCATGAATGTTACTTTTTGAAGAAGCTGTGTTTTCAGTTTTTTTTTTATTTTTCTCAAAAAAGTAAATTTACGACTGTTCAATTTTGAGGCCTCGATGTCTCTGCAGCTAGGGCAGGTACAACAATAATTCTTTTTGCAATGGAAACCTGTATGTGTGTAGAATGCAAGTATTGGAGCAGAATTTAGAGCACAAGCCTTTTTAATCATTTACTCATCAAAATTGTATCACAATTCCAACTGCTTTTGAAAGTGGATAGTTCATTTTGCTGTAAAATAACCAAGAAAGGCCTATAAACAAAAAACTCTTGCATATTTCAATCTATAGTCCTTAGTCTATTGGCATATCTTAAAAATCACTTTTAATTAAGCACTTTTTTTTTTCCTATGGCAGCCTTAAACAATAGGGGGTAACACAATTCCAAGTGCTTTTGAAAGTGGATAGTTCATTTTTGCCGTAAAATAACCAGGAAAGGCCTATAAACAAAAAGCTCTTGCACACTTTCAATCTATAGTGATTAGTCTATGTTGGCATATCTTAAATATCACTTTTAATTAAGCACTTTTTCTATGGCAACGTTAAACAATAGGGGGTGAACTTAAGTTATCTCAGGAATAAGATGAGCTACAGGAAAAACTAATTACATATTTAAAATCAGCAGAAAAAACTGCATAATACTATGCAGTTTGATCAAGATCACTGAAGAAATAAACAAAAAATGTCTGAGATCAGTCTGCCCCCTTAATTGCAAATGTTGTTCCTAACTTAGTATTCTCTGCAATGATATCTAAACATAATATCACCCAAATACAAAAGATGTTTTAACACATTAAGCTACTTTTCAAATGAAAACCATAAGGCAACACTTAGAACAAGATGATCATTGTAAACAAAACATAAAATATGCAACATGAACTTCACTATCGACTACTCCATGTACATAAGCAGTCTCAGGGCTACAAGTAAGACGAATGTACATAGCATAGAGAGGATGCTGTCTTGACCATATCCAAGAAATCAAAGTAAATAGCGTGTCTGCTATGCAACGATAGATTACTATGCAGCACGGTTATTCGGTGTTGTGGCTACAGTGCTGGGCCACAACACCGACAAATATGAAAAATTTCCCTAACCAATCAATAGATAAGGCATTCTTGAATTACAGAGGCACATAACTGTGACTGCATTCTATTTTCTCCTATTTAAATGTGAACTGAATAATTCCTGTACGACATAGTTTTTCACACATGATATCTGCAAAGTACTTACAATTCCTTTGTTAAGACTCTGCAGAGTCCTGCAGAGTCTGAACAAGAAGAGACTTTCCTTAACAATATAATGGTCCCTTTTTACGATTCGCAAGTGCACTTCTGTGCACTGCATATTTGAACAAGAAATGGCGGCACCTGTTGTGCTTCAAGTGGACTCGCGGTCCTAGTTGAACGTACTGGGCCTTGTCTACTATGAGCGTTTATATCAAGACAGCTGACTCAACATTTTCTATGTCTTGCCAAAGCAAAATGCGCTTGAACAGGTTATTTGTACTAAATGACAAGCCACTATTGGTTCTTCAAAATGCATAGCAGAAAAGCTGGCTTTACAATTTTGAAATAGGTCTACTATAAAAAACCAAGTTGTGGCTTTCAATGCTACATGCTGCTTCAACCAGCATTAGGACATCGATGTTCATTCTCATTTACCTGTGCCTGTATGCTTTAAGAACAACTGCGCAGACTTAAATTTCATATTTGTGTACATTTTTTTTTTCTATGAAAGTCAGCGTAAACGCAATGTAGCTTGAAAGATCCACAAAAAGACCGTACCAAAAAACAGGTACACACCTGGTCTAGGTACTTCTTACATAGTGGCTCTTCCTGGCGCACCTCAAACTCATTGGCCCCAACAGTGAGGAGGCGACGGTGCGCCTCATGCCAGGACAGGCCCCGGCGGAGGTCCGTGCCGAGCCGATCGGCCACCTCTTCAAAGGGTAGCTGGCAGGCCTCCTCAGTGCGCATTCCCTCAGCTGCCCCTTGGCCCAAAGGCAGTACCTCCGAGTCGTTTTCAGAGTCGGAGGCGCCACCTCCACCCACCTCCTGCATCACACGACACCAATTTTTTTTTCTCACAAGAAACAAGGCATTAAAGCGTTGCTTTAGAGTAAAAGCGTAAACACAGTTGGACATTGACCACCTAAGGGAGCATGCCAATTGCACGGTAAAAGTGATGGCACATATCTTCCGGCACAGGTTAACCAGCTCATGTGTGTCACTTTTTGAAAAAGTAAGGATTAATTATTGACGAAACCAGCAACCAGACAGCGAGGGAACTATTCGAAGCGTTTCAAATTAGAGGTAATGAACCCCCCCCCCCCTCCCTGGGCCAGTGGCACACTAATTGTAATAATAATAATATCTGGGGTTTAACGTCCCAAAACCACTATATGATTATTGGAGATGCGGTAGTGGAGGGCTTCGAAAATTTCAACCACCTGGGGTTATTTAACGTGTTCAAGGGCCTACAATCTGAGCACATGGACCTTCAGAATTTTCCCTTCCATGGAAGATGCAGCCGCTGCAGCCGGGTTTCCATCCCGTAACTTGCGGGTCAGCAGCCGAGTGCCTTAGCCACTAGACCACCATGGCGAGGTGACACATCAATTGTGATATACAAATCTGAGATACGCTTTTTCAATGGACAGCTTTTTGTGATGACATGTATGGTACCACTTTTTGCCGCCTCTGCACACATGCTTAGAAGTTTACTAGTTTTCCAGATTTTGCTGACAGTAAAGAGTTGATAGTTGGTGCTCCTTTGCGTCCTTTCATATTTGAAACATTGCACCAGAAATAACATGTTCCTCCAACTTAGGCCCCCATTCGCCCAAGAACAAGTAGTCCTATAATGCTGAAGTACCTGCTGAGGATCCCAGCCACAGCGTTCACATTTTGATGTAGGTGAAATGCCCGAGGCTCGTGTACTGTGAAATATCAGTGAATATTGAACAATACCAGACGGTCGAAATTTCCAGACTACAGCGTTCCACACTCATATAGTGTTTTGGGCACGTAAAACCGCAGATATTATTATTACCCGCAATGGAAGTGCACAGTCATCTACAGGTGATTACAGGGACACGTACCTTTAACACTTGCAATTTTGAGGATCTATAACGTACAATTGAGCACACAAAATTAGTACCTAAAAGTTATATTTACTAAGTAATGAACTTACATTTAAATACATTACATCTTCATGACATTTCTGACTGAACGTAAGCTGCACAACTAAGTGACAAGTACAAAGTATATTGAAGAAAGGGAGTTAGAATACAGATACTGCGATTTGCGCACAGCTCCATGCAGCCACTATTAAGAATATTAAGAATAAGTGGGTAGAAATAACTAGAAGGAGGTTATCTGATTGGTGGCTACAATCAAGGCACGAGTGAAAATTTAACCTTCCACTGCAAAAGTGTCAGTACTTAACTTCACCATTTAAAGAAAAAAAAAGATAAATCAAGTTTTTGTTCACTATGTATTACGACTAGGTGGCGTTAGTCGCCGTTCGATCTAAAGGGTACAGCCATATCAATCTATCCATCCATTTACTATACAGTGCATGTTTTATCAAAAAGAGCTACAACTTCATTCAAACTGCCTCTCAGAGATGGGAACTTTTGAGCATACTTGCGTCAATTTCAATCTCACTGCGGCCCAGGTGCTTACACATGGTCACATTAAAGCATATCATCACTTCATTCTGCTCGACATACATTGTGCTAACTGCAACAGAAAACATCAAGCATAATAAAAGAACGTTATTTGCACACTGGGCCTTCGTAAGATATTACGAACAATATGGAAACTAGAAAGCTAGGCAAAAAGGTTAGGCCCGGCCAGACCAAAGCGCGACTGTCGCACGCCAGTACGTCCTAAATCGATTGTTTTCGTCAGCGGCTCATCGATAAAGCTTTCGACTATCCCGGTACGTGTCGCAAGCCGGTGTCTATATTTACGCCAGCTTACCGTACGGATCAATGTCGTTCCTTGGAGCATGCGGCGGCTCGCAGCCCACGGTTTTGCGAGCGATTTTCGCTTGCGAAAAGACACATCTGCTAATGATCCAGTCATCGTGAAACCGCACCCAACAGAAATCTTGAAAATGGGGCCGAATATGGTTAATCTACTGGTACAAATGACATAATTTTGATAAAAACGGGGCTAGATCGTGCGATCGTACATGAGCATGAAATCAACGTCTTTTTTCAAGAGGCACTGCCTTAGTTAGCTTGGGACAGCGTGGAGAAACTGACCACAGCACTAGCAGAGACAGCGCCTACTGGCCCGTGAGCACGAGCATCGCAGTATGTAGCATGGTACTTTCATTACCTGTGCCGGGCCGGCTGCGCGGTTCAGACGATGCGGCAACTCCAAAAGATGCCGCCGTCCAGAGCGAACACACTGAAAGTGTTTAATCTCCAATGCTTCCCGTCTTCTTCAAGTGGCTACCATGCCACATCCAAACAGTAAACTGTCTCGCCAATCTACGACTTGTGCAACCGAAACATGCTTGATGCCAACAGAACCACATTAGCCGTTTTTATTCAGCCCCTCCACTGCAGCATGGGAAAGGTTGCAACCAATTATACATTCTGCACAGGACATGACGTAACACAGTGGGACAAACGAGGCACCATAGGCGACAATCCATTAAAAAACGAAAGGCCGGAAAGGAGGAAACGAAAAGAATTATTGACAAAAATAAATAACAGCTCACCGGGAGGCTGTGCTGGGCGTTTTGCCTCGTTGGCGATCCCTGGTAATGAACTTGTGTTGCTAGCTTTTCGTAGTTGGTCTTCATGCCGGATCTGCAGCACCTTTTGTTATTTTGTTTGTTTTTACGACAGTTGCATGCGCGGAGCGTTGACGGCAAGCTACACGCCCCGGTGTAGACAGAGACGCACTGCACACCAGAGAACACTTATTGCTGCACACGGTTTGAACATGATGCTCAAACCCAGCAACGCCGAGATGGCACTGCTGAACGCACCATCCGCGCAACGCCCAACAACGCGCTTGCCTTTCCACACGACGCTCGGCAGGAAAAAAAAAAAAAGACAGAGAATGCGAAATCAGTTGTTTTGCATAGCGCAGTGCACCGTTATTTCGAGCTTTTGTGTGAAAAATAAATGACGATGTAGGCACGCTACAGAACGCTTCGTTGATCACCTCGCACGCATCGTAACTACGGCAACTACGATACCTCGAGTCGTGACGTACCAAAATTTGTGCACACTTTTGAAATTGTAGATAACATTTGACCTACTAGTTCCGCAAGTCAAAGACCACGTTTGCGTTATGTTTTTTTGATCTAAACGCGGAAAACTGAAGCTCATAGTTGAATACTTTTTTTTTTTTCATTAAAGCTAGATAGTGGTCTGCTCACAGAACACCTACCATCGCTCCGGTTCGCTTGCAAAATGGCAAGCTTGGGCAAGATTTCACCATATGAGTGTTCAGTGCCTTCATAGAAATAAATGCTTCCGTCTGCGTAGTAATCTCGGGACGATCAAAGGCGCGACCGGTTTCTCATCAAATAGCATCATGTGCTATCAAAACTGCGGCGAGTGTTGACTCTTCGGCTGCGTGTATGAAGTTGTACTCCACTGAAAGTTTGTTCGCGCTTATGTGAAGTGCGGACATGGCTGCGGATGAATGTTACATGTTTTCTCAAAGCGACCTGCCAGCATCATGTTTCGGACTTATTGAGGAAATTCGGAGGCAAGGAAAGCTATGTGACATCACGCTCAAGGTGAATACCTGGTGTTCGTTGCCTTTTTTGTTTAAAAAATAAGTGCTTGGAAAAAGCTGAAGCTTGGCTCTTTTTGGTTACCTAGGTGGACGATGAAATCTTCACTGCTCATAGAATCGTCCTGGCCTCCACGATACCGTACTTTTACGCTATGTTCATGCACGATATGATGGAAAGCAAACAAAAGGAGATTACCATTCGTGGCATTGAGGCCTCGTAAGTTAATATGTCTTCTTTGGGTGTAAGGAATATTTATATTATTTTGTATTTCAGGGCACTGGAAGCTCTCATTAATTTTGCGTATAGCGGTAAGGTGAATATCACAGCCGCCAACGTGCAGTCGTTGCTCGTTGGTGCTTCATTTCTGCAGCTACTCAAAGTAAGGGAAGCGTGTTCGGAGTTCCTTGTTAAAAGGCAAGTGTCTTAATTTCATTTGCCCCAACTTCCATGGTGACGAGTTGCCGCATATCTTTCGCAGGCTTCATCCCGCCAATGTCTTGGGCATACGTTCGTTTGCGGACACCCTTGGCTGCCCTGGCCTGGTCGAGGCCACTAACAAATTCATTCAGAAGCACTTTCTGGATGTCTGCCAGTCTGATGAATTCCTTGCTCTCCCTCTGCAAGACGCGATTGAAATCATTGGCTGGGACCAGCTCTATGTTGTTTCTGAGGAGCAGGTAGTACAGACGTTTTCTTCGGCTGGAAAAAGAAATATTTGAATGGTTTCTTTGTGCGAGCAATATCAACATTGCCCCTACACTTCACTAGGGCAAGAATGAAAGGCAGTGATTGCCATATGTGCTCTGAATACTATGCATGCTGCAGAATATTTGCCCCTTGAAGATAATTAGTTTACATGTACTACCAACAGATTTCTAATTTTACAAGCTCTCTTAATTGTTCTCATCATATCAAGAAGAGATGAGAAACAAACTAAGTTTCAGTGTTGAAATGGTAGATGAGCAACATGCAGATCAGCTCTGCTAGCAGGTCATCATATTACAAAACTTTGTGCATGTAGCTGTTGTTGGGAAATGCATGCTTAACCAAAGGGACTCATCTTTCTATCACATTTATCATTCCTGCCTTCTATATGTCCTGTGCATCATTCAAACATAAACACTGATTCTAGTTTATGCATGAGGCAAGTAAAATAGATCTACAATCAACCACAAAAGTATAGGGACCACGTTAGCTCGTGACCAAGAGCCTTTTTGGGACATATCCACTATGTCAGATCGAGAACAGCGCTAAGCCCAAGACTCATTCATTCTTTAATTGATAGCCTAGTTATTTTTCCACTGAGCATGGATATTTGCTTCTTTATAGAGAGCAGTTATCAGGGTAAGTGTTACCAGTCACTATCTTTCTCACAAAGGGATATATACTTTGATTGTGCTATATTCATTTCATTCTGTTGTCAAAGTTCAATTGTGACACTCATACCTCTGATAAGCACATTGCATCAAAACAGTGAATTAACCATGTGCTGCCTGGTAGAAAAAAATTGACATGACAGTGTGTAAGAAGATCCATTTCCGGCCCAGCACTGTGGTCGGCGGTGAATGGAGCTTTGCTAGGCGGCATGGACAGGCAGTTAGGCAGGTGCCTACGTGGTCGATAAACTTTTGTGGTTGACTGTGCATTGTGTGACAAATTTTGCGGAGAATAGGTTGAATTTTTTGTTATTTCATATAAGTATGTACACCGAAAATTGTATTTTTTTTGTTAAATGAATAGTAGTGAATAGTAGACTACCATATTATTGTACTCCAGTATATCTGTCATAGTGCTTTTAATGGTAATAGCCATTATGCAGCAATCTTTTCAGCAAGTCATTAAAGCCTTGATGATCAGTAGTTGTGTTGATGCTAAGAAAAAGCATTCCCATTGCTGATACTCTGGCAATAGTCATTTCACTTCTAGATGGCTATTTCACAGGTAACACAATACAAAATTTGCCTGCCATGGAAGCTGGGCAGGTAAGATGTTGGACTACTAAGGTCAAGGATGTGAGTTTGATTCCTGGCTGGGACTGGCACATTAAAATTGAGTAAAAATGCAAGGACACACGTGTGCTATAGGTGGTGAAATTTATCTCAAGTCCACCACTGTGGCATGCTTCATAATCATACCATGGTTCTGACATGTAAAGCTTCGGAATTAATCATCAATTTACTGCAAAAACTCAATACTTCAATATTTGGATCAGAATTATAGTCGAGAGGGGTCCACCCCATATTATTGAAGCACAGCAGCTGATCACCTTCATAAAGAAAGGAACAGTTCCACTTATGCACTCGGCAGTGTTTTCTAAAAGCAGGGTCACCAGCCATTTGGCTCTCAAAGTCATTCTGGTGCCCATTGGTACAGGTGTCTGTGTATCCACCTTTGAAGAGAAAACATTGCATACATATATTAAAGTTTAATCTTGCTCACTAAAGTCGTGGTGCATGCCGTACATCGTCTGTCCTTATCTTGCATCCATCGTGAACTTACTTACAGCGCAACACCAGAAAAAATACAGGCTCTAACCACTGAGCTATCACAGCGGCCTTCCCTCCATTCTGTGATAGCTCAGTGGTTAGAGCATCGAACGCGTTATTCGAAGGTCGTAGGTTCGATTCCTGCTCACCGCTGGTTATTTTTTCACCCACTTTTCTTCTTACTTACATTCCATTGGTTCTAATAACTTCCCCTATACATTCCTTGGTATTACTGTCTGTTAGATCTCATTAATATTGTGTCAAAACACAGAAAACGAGCCCTTTTATATATATATATATATATATATATATATATATATATATATATATATATATATATATATATATATATATATATATATATATATATATATATATGAGATATAACAGACAGTAATGCCAAGGAATGTCCAGGGGAAGTTATTAGAACCAATTAAATGTAAATAAGAAGAAAGAAAAGTGGATGAAAAAATTACCAGCTGTGAGCAGGAATCGAACCTACGACCTTCGAATAACGCGTTCGATGCTATAACCACTGAGCTATCACAGAGCATCGAACGCATTATTCAAAGGTATATATATATATATATATATACACACACACACACACACACACACACACACACACACACACACACACACACACACACACACACACACACACACACACACACACACACACACACACACACACACATACATGGGGTGGCCAGTGAATGGTTGTGCAGCACGAGCAGTCGGTGTTCTTAAATAAGAAACTGGCTAGCAGACCCTGCCTGCATCGGCATTGCAAAGCTCAAGTTAGGGTGAGCATAGGAGACGATGGGGTGGGATATTGCGCATGCACAATGGGGGTGTGATGCATAGAGGAGAGGGGGGGGAATGGTGGGAGGAGCAAGCGTAGACTAGCAGATGCTGTCGGCGTTGCAGTATGAGAAAGGGGAGGAGCACAGGAGAGGAGGGGGTGTGCATGTGCACCTGCTTTATATTCACATTTGAAGGAAAGGAGTCTAGAGGGGAAAGTAGCGCATGCGCCGTGAGAGCAGAAGCGAGAACACAGGTGAAGCACAAGCAGGCAGTAGGAGAGAAGTGAAGAGAGTAACGTGTAGCTGTTGGAGAGAGGGAAGGAGGAGAGTTGCACATGTGTAGTCAGGAAGGGTCTTATGAAGGTACCCAAGTATGGATGCTTAGAAAACAGGGCAGGAAAGATCCTTGTTTCGCAGTTAGAGAATGTCTATTTTCGGTGCTTTTTTTTTCTCCTCCTTAGCATGATCGCTTATTTACCTTCAAATGTTGCACCAATTAACCCAACATCTCATGTCTCAGGACCATTGTGCTGAAGTTGCACATCAAGTTCATTTAATGTGGTAGGCCTCGTGCTGTGGCAGATACATGTGCCAAGCTTTTTGTATCCAACTTGAAGATAATGCTGTGACATGCACTTTTTCTGCGTTGCCAGACTTTCAGGTTTAGGCAATCATCATTTTGTGCTGGCGGACGACTGTCAACAGCTGTTTCTCACACTCTTCACTCACTGGCTTTCTTCTCAAAAGGTGTAACTTCCAAGTGTGCTAGAAATGCTGCAGTGTAGTTATAAGCTTTTTTCACTTATTGGGCTCACCTCAAACCTAGTATGTTATCTATCCCTATATGTGCATGTTGTATTTTACCCTGACCCCTTGTTTTTTCCAAGTTGGTGTGCTTGTTGCTCCATTCAGCGAAACCTGCTTTTCTTAATATTTTTTACAGTGCTGTTTTCTATTTTAAAAAGTGTTGTCAGTTGCTGATGCTGTAAAATACCACCACAGTAATTTATGAATTTGATTGATGGCAGATCTACCTGTTGAATACCGTATGGCTTTGTATCCAAAATCTCGTGTAATCCTTACTTCTGGCATTTACATTTTCATCACCTTGGCAGAAAAACTGTCCACCTGCACTGTTCCTCTTTTGCAGGTATTTGAAGCAGTGATGTCATGGGTGCTGTATGACCGTGAAAACCGGGGAGCAATTTTGCCAGAGGTGTTGGCACATGTGCGATTGCCACTGCTGAGCCCCCAGTTTTTGGCAGACCGGGTAGCTGCAGAGCCTTTAGTGCGTGGTTGCCACCGCTGTCGTGACCTACTAGATGAGGCACGAGACTATTTGCTCATGCCTGAGCGTCGGCCGTTGTTGCAGGGTTTTCGCACCCGACCTCGCTGCTGTCCTGATGTGGTAGGTCACATCTATGCCGTTGGTGGTCTCACTAAATCAGGTCAGTACCATTGTTTGAATGCTGTGTCATAAAATTGCTTATTATGTGAGCACCAGAAAAGTTCTGGCTTACCTATCCTGTTGGCTGCACTGCTAACCAGATTCGATTCCCAACCACAGTGACGACATTTTGACGGTGGCAGAATGCAGAAGGACCCGTATGCTTATATTAAGTTGTCTGTTAAAAAAAAGAACTAAAAAGTCGAAATTAATTTGAGGTGGTCCAGTACAGTATGCCGCATCATTGTATTGTGAATTTTGCATTCAAGACCCCAGAATCTTTTTCAGTTTTGGCTTAACAGTCATGTCAATAGTATGTTTCTCAATGTTTGACCACAAAAACAAGTATTTGCGGGTATTTTGTGAGGGTCACAGCTTTTAAGATGCTTCTGTTTGTATTGAATAGCTAAGAATAAGTGGATATCCACTGTAGTTTATTTACTTATAATCGATGACAACTTACAGTTAATCCTTGTTTCTGTCCCATTTTGTATAGTTTCCATGTACCCACACTCGCTACTGGCAATGCCAGAATGGCCTTATATAGTTGTCAAGCTTTTATACCTTTTTATACCTGTTAATACTTTTCAGAAAAAATTTTTATGAACAAATTTCATCTAATACACGAGTTCTAAAACTGAGTTCTGCAGAACACTGGGCTCCCCCCCCCCCTCATTTCCCCCCGCTTGCTTCCAAATGTCATGGTGTTAAGGTAAAAGTTAGGGGTTCCACTGCACTCTGAAAAAGCTGTTGGTGTACCCCAAGACCACAAAGTTTGAGAACACCTGATCTAGTACATTCACAAACTGTGATTGTATGATATGCATTCAGCCTGGTAAATTCCCCACGAATAAAGGGCAGCTTGTCGTAAGAGCTTCTCCTCGGTATTCGCGTAAACATCTCCTGTGAAGATGCCAGCACACGCTCGTGCACTGTTTCTTTATCTAGTACCAGTGAATCTGCAGAAATCTTGCTGGTTGTTGCACATCACAGTCACAGCTGAGCTGTAGCAAACTCTGTCATAAGCACCTTCACCTATCTGACAGCATATATGGCATAGTGCAGTAGAAGCGTACTGCAAATCATTAGTATCTGTTTACCTAAACATACTACCGTTACCCACCATTTTAGGACATGTCACTGGTATTGAACCCCTCATCTACACCAGTGCTGCATAGTGCGTGTTCTCCCAATGGTTTGTTCCATCCTGAAATGTTTGCTACCATATTTACTTATTCTACACTACATTCTATATTTATCGCCCTTACCCAGCGCCTCTGCCAAATGTGATGGAGCTAGGTCACTTTAATGGTTATTCACAAGATATAGCAATAGCCAACCAAGATGGCTGAGGAGCACCATGAGCAAGTGCATTATGCACGTTTGTCTTCATTTTCAGAGAGGATGGCACTAGCTCTTGTTCATGTTGCTAAATAACAATATTTCATGCATTTTTGTACCAAAAAACTTAAAATGTCCTACAGGTACAGCATCAAGTGAGCGGGTTTTGAACAACTAGGCAGCCTATTCATGCTAGCTCTGCAACTATTTGCAGCTTTTCGAACGTTCATGTTTCTATCTGAAAAGTACCTTAAAAGTACATTGTCAATTGTATACAAATGTAGTGAGTTGGTAGATGAAGTCCTGATTCACAAGGTGCTTGATTGGGCTGGTTGGTGCTGCATGGTAGACAAACAAAGTGCTTAACAGTGCAAACAACAGGAGGGGATAGAAGAGACGAGAACAGAGTGCTCTGTTCTCGTCTCTTCTATCCCCTCCTGTCGTTTGAGCTGTTAAGCACTTTCTAAGTCCTGATAATCTTGATCAGGATTCATTTGATCTGCATAAGGTGTGTAGTGTGGTAATGGGTTTTTAAAATTTGCATCAAAAGTGAATGTCATTGGTGCTACAGCCTGGGCTTGCGACAACCTCTGCCCACTCTGCCTATAATGGGCAAGCAATAAACAATCTAGTCTTCAGGGGCAGAACACCTGTGCTATTTGCACCATTGTGCGCCAAGCTCGCTTACCTGTGCCGAACCACTCCTGCTGCACCAAACTCGCCTATCAGTGCCGTACTGTGCCTCAGCACCAGAGTGCAGCTGCAAAATGCGAAAGCCATCAAGCCCCGTGCCTGGAAGCATGGCTGCAACATTGTCTTTTTGGTTGGATTGAAACCTATAGTTTCCGTTTCACAAAGACTGTGATGGCTCCAGGAGCAGCTGTGAACTTTGATCTTAAGGGCACGATGATGGCAGGCATCAGTGAAAATAGCTTGTGAACCCTTCCACGTGCTACAGTCTCAACACGAAGAGACTGTGCGAAGAGAATCTCTTCCTGTTTTGTAAAGTTACGCTATATCGAATTTAATAGAGTTGGCTGCCAACCTTACAGTTTGTTGCAATAAGATTCATTAGTTCGCCATTCTGGTTAAACTTTTCTTATAACATGATGGCAGCGTTGGGGAAATAAATCAAGGATGGTAGTAACGGCGCACGAAAGAAGGCTGGTGGTGTCCATTTCTTGGAACAGCCTAGCTAAGACAGGTGCATTGTGCACATGACTGCTCATTGAGTGTATGCGCATATTCTCGTTCATTTGGCCACTGTGCTTCGTGCTTATCGACGTGGCGGTTGACACTCGCGTGATCAGGTGAAAAACAAAAAATAAACATGAGCGGCTGTACGTAACTATAAACACAGTTGCACCGCAAGTGTGGAGCAGTGAATGCTATAGCACCAAATTGTAAGGTGAGATTGGTGCTAACTCATTTGGATACGATCTCACGTAACTGTTCAAAATGCTGGTGTATGAGAATACGACCACTTGAAAAAAAGCAACACGTTTTGCACATTCTCTTCGCAATGAGAGTGCAGCTCGTAGAAGTGTATGCCAGTTGCCCGCCGATGGCTGTTCATAGATGTTGAACGAGCCCCCCCCCCCCCCCCCCCCCCCCGCTCGTTTTTTTTTTATTCTTCCAAGATGGGCGGAGTGCTTCCTTGGTAGGGGTGTCAGGTGCTCTTGCAAGCGCCCTCCGAGCGGTGCAGTTGGGCAGGATTGTTTGACTTCTGCTTCAGCTGCGTTCATCTCCCCCGTCCGCCCGCTTTTACGTGCGAAGATAATATATGATGCGCTAGAGTGCGCTATCAATTTAGAATTTCTAAGGGACATGACGGCAATGGCAAAAACCTGTCGGGAGTGCCCATATAGTTTCTATCGCAATAGTGAGGTCTTGCACAATTTAACTCACTGTTTAAAAAATGCAGCATTGAACAAATGCAGCTTCACAGGTGCTTTGAGCGAGGCTAAATTTGCTCTGAATGTTTTTACTGCTCCAAACTTGCTTAAAAAGACCCTTTTGGCTGCTCCAAGCCTGCTACAAAAAGCAAATTTGCCTGCTCTAGGGACTGCTCCCAAACCTATGTATCCTGTTCCACCCTTGAGTCTTGTATTTTTTGTTTTGCAAAGTAGCTAATGACCCATTTATCACGACTGAAAACCTTGTTTGTGTGAGTGCTCATGGGGAATTATTTGGAGACATTTCTATAGTACCCACTCACAGTCTTGGTTTCGTGGAGTACCCAGGAAAAAGAGACTAGGGAGGTTTTATTGTAGACACATCTGGCTACGTAACCACAGATAAGAGTGATGTGCGTGCTGTGCATGGAAACGCAGGCATTTGAGTGCCACATCGACTACTGTGGCAGACCACCTGCAAGAGAATGCTAGTGACAAGTGTGGAGTGGGTGGCTTGATGGTATACATTAAATTTAAAATGGTGTCCATGTTGCGAGGTGCTGCGTTTTCCGCACAATTCTGCAGCATACATTTCAAAGTTGATTTTAAATATGTTCTAGCCCATGTTTGCTGTTAATATTTTTGTAGATATGTGTATGTCTCCATAAATGTATCTGGCAAGCTATCTTGCCTTCAAGATTTCATGTCAGTGCTCTTTTATGTATCGTATTTTCTGGTGTATAAATCGCAACTCTATATAAGATGCACCCCCTACTTTTTACGACTTCTTCCGGGGAAAAAATACATGTAAGATGCACCTATTTCAGACTCTGTGAACATCGTAAAACAGAATGACGCATGCAGAGTACGTTCACTGCAAAATGTGTAGTCACTCACAGTGTTAAATTCTCTAAGGGAGCAGTATAAAAATTGTAAATAATGAAGTATAAAACTTGTAAATGTAATAACAGATAGTCAATATTTATCCCACAGCATTTGAGGCCACATCCTTGGCGATACTGTCATAAGTTCTTCTCCTTTGGTTGGCAGCATCATGGGGTTGCTCTTGTCAGCCTCTGAGTAACTCTCTTACGTGGCATTGAAAGCACCTTGGAGCAGATTATTGGCTCTGTCTCTTCGACATTTTATGAGGCTTTGTGGGAACACAAAAACGATTGCACCGCATGTTTGACAACTACACACATGCATACAAAATGTAAACAGCGACCGCAAGCCGAAAGCTGTAACTGCTGCTAGACTGGAGTGATGCCTCATGCGGGAACTGATGATGATGATAATGATGTGTTACTTTTGCACTTTTGCTTCTGTAACTGGTATTGTGGGCACTGCAACATCACTACGGAATGTTGTAGTGCTCTTCTTTATTCATTGCCTCACTTCTGTGGGTTTAATGATTCATTTAAGAACAAACTATTTAAACAATAGGATAATTTGCGTGACGATGGTGCTTTTTATAGTGGTCATAATCTCTGTGGTCACCGCAGTGCTTGAACAGAAAGTAGTCGACATGTAACACCACACCGATTTCATTGTTATAATAATATTAAATATATATTTGTATGAATGCTCTTGCGCTCAGTTTATCGTGCTCGCAAATAAAATATTGACATAGTGGTCTCACATAATTGCATGACTTTTCGTGTACATAAGACACACCGTTGTAAAAGACGCACACCGAAAACATTGGGAAAAAAAAAGAGTTGCTTATAAACCAAAAACACGGTAACTTGATAATAAACTTTGT